CCTGCCGTGCTCATGGGACACCTGAACTGAGTTCCCAGCTCCTGGCTACACTCTGGCTCAGGTATTGTGAGGAGGGTGGACCGGTGGGTGAGGTGTGTTCTCTCACTCACAGTCATTCACTCATTGCGTGGCTGGCAGCGTCTGACTCCACCAGGGACCTTGGACAGACTCGAGGGAAGGAGCACGCAGCCAGGAGCAGCTGGCTGTCCCAAGTCTCCTTCCTGTCCAGGCCCTCAGCACAGCTCTCCCCGGCAGGTGCATCTGCCCTGCTGGTGTCATGTCATGTCATTTCCAGCAGCATCCATGCTCACCACTAAACTCACACTGCAGAGAATGTGTTCTGTAGAGAAGTAACCATAATCCTTGAAACAGTCTCTTCTGTGAGGCCAGGAATGTGGTATTGTGAATTAAACCACAGCCTGCCAGGTTGGCAACCCCATGTGGGCATCCTTAAAGTCCCAGCTGGTCCACTCTGCTCCAGCTCCCTGCTAATGCACCTGGAAGGCAGCAGATGGCCCACGGGCAAGACCCAGACCAAGTTCCTGTGTCATCCTAGCTAGCCCAGCTCTGGCGTTAGGCCTTTGGGGGAGTGAATCAGCAGACAGAACAGCTCTCTCTCCTTCCTCTAGCTACTAGTTCTGCCTATGAAATAAATGTCTCCTTTTAAAAATACTCTGCTTCTATCTTCCGTCCCAGCTAGCACATAAGAATAAATCATGACTGCATGCACTTCTGTCTGCTATTGCACCTTCAAAGGCCTCGTGTGGCACCGAGCAGGCAGGTGAGTGACAGACACGCAGTCCTGCTGCTCAGGAGTCTGGCCAGCTGAGTGAGGGTGGCCTGCACCGTGCTGGGCTTTGCTCTCTGCAGGCCTTGCTGCCCTGGGGTTCTCGTTGTCTGTCAAGCTCTGACAGGCTGTGCTCGCTCAGCAGCAAGGCAAGATTCTAGAGACAGGAGACAGGGGGCAGCAGCCTCTGAAGAGGGACCCTGGCATTGGCAAGGTGTCACTTGGGGTGCCAGCTGATGGGACAAGCAGCAGTCACACACACACACACAGGCTAGGGATGCAGGAAGGGGCGGGTCCAGGACTTGGGCCACTGTGGCTGTGACACACAGGAGTGTGTGGGAACGAGTGTCAGGCCTTGGTGGTGTGTCCAACTCTAAGTGCCCCCTGGAGTACTCATTGATGACGTCCACTCTTGCTGCTGATGGTGACCCTTCAAGGGCTCAGGGAGCTCAGGGAACTCTGGCTCCCCCTGCTGGTCACAAAGAGCAGCCTGTCCTCCTGCCCTGGGGGAGCCCAAGAGGCCACTGGACACTCCGTGATTTTCTTTCCTACTTGTACCCAGAAAGACCCTTTCCTGTCTGCTTAAGGACAGACTGCTCAGGGCGGGCCTCTGGCCCAGCAGTGAAGGCACTACACGTGATGCCCACATGTGCCAAGCCAAAGCCAACAACCCAGAGCCTCTTCTGGGTCTCCCACACAGGTGCAGGGTCCCAAGTCTTTGGGCTGTCCTCCACTGCCTTCCCCAGGCCACAAGCAGGGAGCTGGATGGGAAGTGGGGCTGCTGGGACACAAACTGGTGCCCATATGGGATCTCGGGCAGTGCATGCGAAGCAAAGACTTCAGCTAATAGGCCATCGTGCCGGGCCCATGAATCATTTCTCAGCTCCAGCTCCTGACTCCAGCTTCCTGTTAATTATATAGGCCAGGAGGCAGTGGGTGGTGATGACTCAAGTAATTGGGAGCCTGTCTTCCATGTGAAGGACCTGGACCGAGTTGCCAGCTCCTGGCTTTAATCTCCGTCCAACCCTGCTGCTGCAGGCATTAAGAGTGGTGAGCCAGCAGATGGGCCATCTGCCTCTCTCTCTCCTACACTCTCTACCTCCTCGCCCTCCAACACACACACACACACACACACACACACACACACACACACACACACACACAAATAAATGTCTTAAAGTGATTCAGGGGTCAAAATGGAACTACAGGGGCCAAAGTGTGGTTCTGTGTCCACAACTCATGTTAATGAATTGCTTTGAGGCAATGCAAGCAGAGCTTCACTGGCTGTGCCAATTCTTCAGAAAGAAAAAGATGAAAATCCCAATTCTACTGTGAATCGTGACTGTCTCTTGAGCCTGTGGTCCAGCCCTGATGCATCTGTGATTCACTCACCACTCGGGGCCTCTAATAGGAAATGTAAGTGAACCTGTTGGGTCCCAGTTGCAGAATCGCTTCCTCATTCCTCTCACTCCTGTCTTCAACAGGAAGACACAGAACATGCCAGAAGCACGTAGAAAGGGTGGAGCTCAAGGAAACTTCTTCAGAATACTCCTCGGCCTCCCATGCCTAGTCCTCCAACACACTGCCCTAAAGTGCATGATTTGAATCTGCATCTGAACAAAGTACTTAATGAACTGGCAGGCTGCTCGTGGGACAGCAGAGACAAGTGTCTGTGGTTCTTTGTTTAAATATGTGGTGTCTATATCAACCCTGCCTCGCAACCCTCGGTCTGTCTTCACCGACTCTGTGCTGTGTAGCTGGAACCTCAGTCATGTTGAACTCTCAGACTGCCTTACCTTCTGGCTTGCAGTTAGGCTCCACCAAGAGAAGGCTCCAGCCTCCTGGTATGAGAGGAAGTCACTTGGTGCTTGTAGCTGTCGATGCCTTCCCTCCAGCAGCCGTGCACAGCAAGGTCCTGGATGCCCCAGACATCATCAGCAACAGTCACAGTTACCTTTGCCCTCGGCAGGCTGGGCACCAGCTGGTTCCATCCTGTTGTCTGCTCAAGCTCTACGCAGAGCACCCCAGATCCAGCAGGAATCCAGGCTGCTGTCTGCCAATGACTTCCCCAAGATCCTGATGCCACTTCCTCCCTTGACTCTTCCCATCCCTAAGATGGTGGTTGTGTCCTTAGTAAGCTCTGCGTTATGTCAGCACCCATTGCCTGCTCTTGGGCTCCCAATATCCAGTATTAACTAATCACTGGATTCACTGCCTTATGAAACAGCTAAAATGACTGCTCTTCTGACTTAAGGCTGGCTGATAGTAGTCATTAGGATAAAAAGTATGCTTCATATGCCACATTTCTTTTTCTTACTGTAATCTCTATATGAGTTTATTCAATGCCATGATCCTTACCACAGAATTGTGACCTAAAAGTCGGTGTTTCAAGTTGCTATTATGACAGCTGACTTGCTGATGTCTAATGGATCCACGGCTTATAAAAGCACTTGACCTACAATATCATTCATCCTCAAGTCCTTCCTCACTTTTCTTGAGTCTGTTTCTACACAGACCAACCGCAGCCAACACTTAGGAACCAACTCTTTTAGAATTTTCTGCCACTTTTGTTAGTGGTGTTGGACTAAGATTTAAGATGAATAAACACACACTTAATTTCGTTAACCAGCTCTGTTTGAAGAGGAAATGGTAATTACTCATTCTAGTAATAGAGTCTTTACCTTATAAAAGGAATCACCCAAAGATTTCTTTAAAACTGTGCTTGCTTTCTGATTGGGGCAACAGACTGTGCCAGACCCTGTACTGGCAAGCACACACAATAATCAGGTCTGGGATCACCTTAGATGAAGTTTCTCTAGGGATCCCCCCAAGTGAATTGCTGGACTCAGAATCCTAAATATGGAGATTGGCAGGTTCCATGGTCTGACCGTAAAATGCATGTATCAGAGCTGGGCCTCCTCAGTGACTTAGAGGGAGCAGTGGACAGCACATCCAGATGCACATGGAGGATATGGCAGTCCATCAGAGCCTGCAGAGGACACCTGGTACCACAACAGAGAATGGAGGTCAGAGAACAAATTGATCAACTCCCCAGCCAAGTGTTGATTGTGGAAATCTAGGCAAATGGAGACTCTAAGGTGGACTATGTCAGCCAGTGGTTTTTGGAGACGTTTCATCGAGCTTAGAATGGTGAGCTTGGCAGCAATTCAGAACTGTTGAACTATCAAAACCACTTGAACAGTGCCCTCAGAGCATGCCCCACTCCGGGGACCCTGGGATGGGTGGCAGGCTGGGTGGGGTTTCTCCATTTATCTCTTCCCTTACCTCAGATACAGGAAGAAAAAAAAATGAGAATGTGAAAACAATGGTCTTGCCCACTTTCTTGTAGCTCTTGACCCTTTGTGCCCTAATCAACTATGTAAAGATCATCACAATGAAAAAAACAATAATGAAAAGAAAAGAATTTTGCTTGTTTAGATAGATAAAGGCATGTTCCCAGAAAATGGAATTACATCAGGTTTTTTTAAGATTTTTTTTTTTTTATTGCAAAGTTAGATATACAGAGAGAAGGAGAGACAGAGAGGAAGATCTTCCATCCAATGATTCACTTCCCAAGTGGTTGCAATGGCCAGAGCTGAGCTGATCCGGAGCCAGGAGTCAGGAGACTTTTCTGGGTCTCCCACACAGGTGCAGGGTCCCAAGGCTTTGGGCCATCCTTGACTGCTTTCCCAGGCCACAAGCAGGGAGCTGGATGAGAAGTGAGGCCGCCAGGATTAGAACCGGTGTCCATATGGGATCCCAGTACATGCAAGGCAAGGACTTCAGCTGCTCGGTGACCATGCTGGGCCCTCTGTCTTTCTGATCACAGCCACTGTAATTGGTGTGAGGTATTATCTCAGTGTGGTTTTCATTTGCATTTCCCTGATGCTTAGTGGCACTGAACATCTTTTCATGCACCCATTGTCCATCAGTATGTCTTCCTTTGAGGTCTCCCATGTGGGGACAGGGGCCCTAGAACTTAAGCCATCCTCTGCTGTGTTCCCAAACCATGAGCAGGGTTAGATGGGAAATGAAGCAGCCAGGACATGAACTGGGATGCAGTCACATGCAATTAGAGGATTAGCCTCCCACCGAGGACTTGTGAGAGCTACTGCGAACAGCTCTTCTCTCTCTCACGCTCCATCTGTCCTTTCTTCCTTCGAACCTGGTATCCCGTTTCCTTTCGCACTCAACCCAGCACCTGCCTGAGCCACAGCCACACCTTCAGCTGCCGCCTTCTCTCCTCTACTGTGAGGCTTAGGGCATGATTCTCAGATGCGATATGTGTTCACTACTGTCAAATAAACATGTGAAATTAAGACCCTACTGCAAACACTGAACCTAGAAAGAAACAAAAAGTTCTAACTTTCACAGCCCATGTCCTATCACAATCTCACCGACAGAAAGAGGTTATATCTAGGAAAACACACAGCACTTCTGCGCTATGAAGTTATCGAAATATCATGTTCTTAATTCACCATTACATGATCATTATTCATTAGAATAATATCCCACCGACTTCTGCTTCAAATTTTTTTTGATTGCTCCAGCGTGAGAGTTGCATGAATGTTTCAGTGAGGGCTGAGGACTAAAATCCACGGAAGGGAGTGCATTATCTTGAAGAAGAAAATGACTGACTTTGTGATGTTATGAGCTGCTTTTTCACACAAAATAATTTCAAGAAAGCCTTCTGGAAACGCTTGTGACACAACGGATACAAGACAGGATTGATAAAGGAATTGAACCACTGGAGCCAGAATGCAAATTCATACCAACTTGATTTCGGGCGCTCCGCTGGGGGGTATGTTGAAATAACAATTGTGAACAAAGAATATGGAGCCCAGCAAATGGCAAAAACTGCTAAGAGGACAGCCAGAGACTTGGCTAATTTTCTGGATCTGAGCAGTTCAACATGTTCCCTATGGTGAAGGGATAAGGAATCCGCGTGGGCCAGGGAACTCCCTTTAGAAGCATGAATCATTTTGCTTTTCTTCTGGCTTCTAAAGGAAGCTAAAAGGTTGCTCTTCCTCCCCTGTCCCTGGGAATGAAGGGATGGATCTCCTTTCTCTGAGAACAGCCCCCATCTTAACGTTTGCCCGCCGTCACAGGAAGAGACAGAGAGGAGCCTGCTGCGGTGCCTGCTGAGGTTACCACGCTTCCATAGGCGCCGGTAAATATACACATTGAAATATGCAACGGCGATAACTGGGATCAGGAATTCCAGGAGTGAGGTGATGGCTATGACATACCATGCTGAAAAAAATCCAGGCTCACATTCATGGCTCCCATTCTTCCAAGCCTCTGAAACGAGAATCATTGGGCCATTCACCAAGAAGGCCAGCACCCAGACAGCCACCATCTGAATGACAATCTTCAAGATTCCTGTGTTCTGAGCTCTGTAAGTTACCTAGGAGAGAGCAGATAAACTGTTTTTAATATAATGAACATGCAAGGCTTGCACGCAGCATCCCGGAGACCCTCAGAAGTTGCAACGATGTGCAGGAGATCGGGCCGCTACCTAACCTGGGAATCACGACTTGGGTCGGGACAAAGAGCTCAGAGTCAGGACAACGTGAGCCAGAAAGCAATTTTTCTCGCTGATTTTCAAGAGGAAGACAATCATCCTTGAGGCTGAACCTCTGACACTATAGAACCACTCCAGGCCAGTATCGGAAAACAGAAAGCAATTTTTCTTGCCCCAGAAACACTAATCTGAGTCTTTAGCAACTGAAATTGGGTGTGTCCTATCATACAGAGTATTACTCAATCTGGGTCATGACCAGCATTGCTGCTGGCAAAATCGAACAGCCAGTGTTGGATTGCAAGACACATAGTAAGGATCGGTGCTGCATCAGATTGATACTGCATCAGATAAATTCATGAGTCTCTGGGACTACAGACGGAGAGACAGAGAAGGAAACGCGTGGACTGGGTTGCAGTGTGCAATGTGTTCCTCACTGTGTCGGCACAAAAGGAGGGTGAAACCGCTGCCTTATCTGATTCCAGTACTCAGAATCCACTCTGACGTCTCTGCTGAGACTCGAAAGTGGAGTCACGAAGCGAAAGAACTCATGCATCAGCTCAAGAAGACCTGGCACAGACAGAAGAATGTTCAACCTGCAGCAGAGGCACAGGGCTGTTACTGAGCATGACCAACCCACGCTTTCCATGCGCGTGCCCACTAAACAAACATGGCAAAGCTGCAATATTCAGACTGAAAGCCATGACTATGTAGGCGCCATGGTCTTTTTCATGGGCAGGGAATGTTCTAGATTGACATGATCACAAAAAAAAAAAACCCAGCTTGCATAAGGGAAAATGAGATTCTATGACTAAGAATTGCTCTCTCCTCACAAGGCCCACTGTCCTAATGTCAATCTGGAAACCTTTTTAAATGGTTCATTTGTTTGTGTGTTGAAAAGGTAGGGCAGGGCATCAGAAAGAGGAACAGATGTTCAATGTTCCATTAACTGGTTCCCTCTTCAGTCAGCTGTAATAGTCTGGCCTCCCACGTAGCCAGCAGCACGTCAAGGCCATCTTCTGACTTCCCAAGCACAAATCAGCTAGAAGTTAGATCATAAGCAGAACAGCCAGTGCTCAACTAGCTGGCAACAGAAGTGGTGGCTTAACCTACTGTACAACACTGGACTCAATCCTGAAACTTTAAGAATATCTTTTACATCAAAAAGACATGTAAGGCCAACCATGCTATATGAAGGCTAAACATGTAAACCAAGAATTTTTTAGGGGGCTCCTCTTCGATTTTTTTAAGCCAACTTCTCTGATCCTCTTCAGGGTCTGCACATTTCCTTCCAGCCTGACTGCTTGTGTTTCCTGAATTTCCTCATTTGTAGGAAAGGAAAGGATCTTCAGAAAATGGGATGACATTTGAAGGGGAAGAAAATAATTCTGGCGGCCTTGTCCTCTCTCACACTATTTTTGTGAATGTTTAAGTCCCACTCCACAATGTTTCTTAAACAGGTGTACATTATTTAACACTGTCTTTCTTGGATGGTTGTACGTGCTATGAAGGACTCCCCAACAGCTTTCCCTTAGAGAAATCTAGTTAATAATGATTAATAATAATAATAACAATAGTAATAGTAATAATAATACCAAGAAACCACTTTGTTTTCTTTTGAATTATAGGCAAATATAGGTGTTTTACTGTAACTGGTATGTCTCAAGCCAAACTAAAATACATAGGATGTTGAGCACAAGTTCCTAAGTATGATACATTTTTGCCTTCTGCTTCTTGGGCCACAAAGTAGTACACTTGTTGCTCTAGGTCTAGTGATTATAAAGATGGCAACAAAATGCAAATGTTCATGCAATTGCATTTAGTGTTTTAATGGCTTTGTGCAGCCTTGGTAATGGTGTAGTATGTTGGAAAAGATCCCATGAAACATAAAGTCATTTGAGATCATGGACAGCAGAGGGATTTCAGAAGAGACGGCAAACATCAACATCTGTAGGAAGCATTTAAAAAATTTTTTTTTCATTTTATTTTTAATATTATTCACAGGGTTGAGAAGGATGCACACCCATGTGGGCCTCCGATTAGAGTGGGAGGGTCCAGCAAGGAGGTTTTCTCTTCCAGGATGTCGTCAGATTCACATTTCCCAGGCCAGCAGACCTCTAGTCGCCTATCACAGTGTCTCCTCCAGCTTCAGCTGCGTAAGAGTTCAGCTTCCTTGTGATCATGGCCTCTAAGACTTTACTGGTCTTGGAAAGTGTCCTTCCGGTTTCCCATGGCCACCAGTGAACAGCTACCCTGAAGAGCTGCGGGACCTGCCTGAGTTCTGCTGAGCAGGCTGGCATTGTGAACTTTTTCTTAATGATTTGACTGTACTAGGTGCTAAGGATCTAGCTGGCTTCCCCATCACCCATTTTTGGCAAGAAGCAGATGAAATAAGCCTCACTTTTCAGCTGAGTGTCTATCCTCGTTTCTCTAAGCACTTTCTCTAACTGGGCAAAGTTGTCCCTTCTCTGTCCACAGACTTGAAGATAGATTCAAAAGCATTGGAAACCCAGTGAAGATGAAAAAGAAATGTCTGGCAACATGTCGTCCTACAGGAGTCCCCCAAAGGGTTAGGACCCTGAGACTTGGAAAGACATTCACTAGCTAGACCCCAGAGTTCATACCCTCATCTCGTATTCCACAGCCCCTTGAACCTCTCTGTCTGTATGCCAACCTTATCTTCTCCTTTGTCGTGTTGCGGGAAAACATTGCTTGCTTAAGAATTGTCTAACTTGCCACTAGAATTTAAATAGCATAGACCTACCTCCCAAAACTCACTTAGGACCTTCAAGTCCAAAGTCTTTGGGGAAGTTTGATCCAAATGTGTGTTTAGGAAGTGGCCTGCTGGGAGGTGCTTGTGTCATTGAGAGTATGCTCTTGGAAAGTCATTTCCCCCACAGGGTTATTGTAAGAACCTGTGTTTGGGGCCCAGCGCCATAGAGTAACGTCCTCGCCTTGAACGTGATGGAATCCCATCTGGGCACCGGTTCTAATCCAGCTCCCTGCTGTGAACTGGGAAAGTAGTTGACCTTGGGGACCCTGCACCCATGTGGGAGACCCAGAAGAGGCTTCTGGCTCCTGGCTTTGGATTGGCTCAGCTCCACCTGCTGGGGCCACTTGGGGAGTAAATCAGCAAATGAAAGATCTTTCTCTCTGTATTTCCTCTCTGTATATCTGGATTTCCAATAAAAATAAATGTAAAATTTTTAATATAAAAAAAAAGGATGGGCTTGACATGGTGGCTTACCTGCTAAAGTCCTTGCCTTGAACGTGCCAGGATCCCATATGGGCACCGGTTCTAATCCTAGCAGCTCCATTTCCCATCCAGCTCCCTGCTTGTGGCCTGGGAAACCAGTCGAGGGTGGCCCAAAGCCTTGGGACTCTGCACCTGTATGGGAGACCTGGAAGAGCTCCGGGCTTTTGGCTTCAGATCAGCTCAGTTCCAGCTGTCGCAGTCACTTGGGGAGTGAATCATCGGATGGAAAATCTTCCTCTCTGTCTCTCCTCATCTCCCTACATATCTGACTTTGCAAATAAATAAATAAAAAAATAAATAAAAATAAATCTTAAAAAAAAAGAGTTTGGAACACTCCCCCTGCATTGGGGTCACCATGTGACCTTTCCCCCACACAGGCTCCACCTAACTATTTGCCATGCCCCTCAGAGGCCAAACCAATCGGCCCAAGCAAATTTGGATTTCAATGTCCCAAAACTGTGAGCTAAATAATCCTTTTCTACTTATAAAGTTAGTTGCCTCAGTCATTTCTCTTCAGCAGTAAAAAACCTAACATGTGCATTGATGAGGCCATTTCAGATCCAAGTGTGTTTAAACTTTCTTGACAAGGAATCTAATCTGGTGTGGTGTCTTGGTCTTTCTGAGTGGTCTCACTATATAATCTGCCTGTTTTCTCTTGGAGTTTCAGATGGACTCTCTGATCCCATGCAGAAGTGTTGAATTCCTATTTGCCCATCGGTTTTCTTTCTTTTTTATTTATTTATTTTTTAAAAAGCATTATTCTTTTGGTGGGGGTTGGGGGGGGTTGTTTTTTCATTCCTGAAACAACCACAACTGCCAGAGCTGGACTGATTTAAAGGCAAGAGCTCCAATTTTCTTCTGTCGTCTCCCACAAGGGGCATGGCCCAAGAACTTGAGCCATCCTCAGCTGCTTTCCTGAGCCATATGCAGAGAGATGGATAGTAAGTGGAGCAGTAAGCCAGCGTGACGGCTTACTGGCTAAATCCTCACCTTGCAACTGCTAGTATTGCATACGGGTGCTGGTCCTGGCTGCTCGACTTCCTATAAAGTTCCTGCTTGTGGCCTGGGAAAGCAATAGAGTACGGCACAAAGTCTTGGGACTCTGCACCAGCGTGGGAGACCTGGAAGAAACTCCTGGATCCTTGCTTCGGATTGGCTAGGTTAGGGCTATTGCGGGCATTTGGGGAGAACTAGCAGATGCAAGATCTTTCTCTCCGTATCTTCTTCTCTGTAAAATTTGCCTTTCCAATTAAAATTAATGAATTTTTAAAAAAAAAGAAGGAGGAGGAGGAGAAAGAGAAGTGGAGCAGCCAGGACATAAAAGGGGTTCATAGGTGACACCAGAATTGCTGTAGAGGCTTAACATCCGGCATAGACCCCGCCCATCAGTTCTCAACTTGAAGAACATATTTAGGTCTCAGTTCATCTATGGGGTGAAACTCACAAACCCGTGAATCTCCTGTATAGCCAGTCTGCTCCTGAGCGCTTACACTGCTTCTGATAGTTCACCCTGGCTTTTCTGTGCAACTTTCCCATTTTAGTAGCCCACGGGAGGTGACTTATCCAAATCAGAGTATGCACTATTGAGAACTTTGTAGCAGGTTAAAAAAAAAGGATAGGATTCCTCCTGGCTTGTCGATTAACACAAAAATTGTTAGACTTAAAAGTCTGTTTACTTGGAGACCCAAACTTTAGACTGATATCGTCTTCAGAGGGAGATACAGTTTTACTTACTGCATTCAAGACTGACTGGTATCGGTCATAGCTGATGAGGACAATGTTGTACACAGACGCTGTACATAAAAGATAGTCAGTTACGAGCCAAAACAAGCAGATTTCTTTTCCAAAATCCCACTTAAACAGTGTGTGAGGTATGTACAAAGGAATGGAAATTGCACCTGTTAAGGGCAAAAAAAAAAAAAAAAGTCTTAAAAAAATACCCCACAGCAATGAATGCGAACATGTATATTCTTATTAGATACACAACACAATGACATATCTGAATTCACTTAAAAATGCTTTTGATTAAAACTTAGAAATTCATGCTATTTCAGCAAGCATCTCTAGACAGATTTTACTTTTTTTTAATCTCTAAGCTTGATTGTAGTTGTACAAATAAGAAATGAAATGTATATTTAACTTATTTTTATTATTATCATTTTATGATACAGTTCCATAGGCCCTGGGATTTTTCTTATTCCCGCTCCAGTTCCCTTCCCCACTCACTGAGTTCCCCTATATCATTACTATAGTACAGTTTTTCATAAACAGTCATATGTCTATCATTGTGGGCATGGACAGTGGCAGAGTCCAGCATCCTATTGTCAAGATGTAGTTAACAGTTTCACTGGGAGTCCATCTTTGGTCTGGAAGTAGAGATGTGTACTGCATTGTGTCCTCATATCTGGATATGATAATCTGCATTACACTGCTACTGTACGTCCTCTTATATGAAAAGCCACAATACAAAACCAACAACAGGAAGAAAAATCGAGATTTAGAATGCCATGAAGTTAAATAATATGCTACTGGATATGACAGTCTCCATTACACAGGTACTGTACATCCTCTTAAATGAAAAGCAGGGGCCTGGCGTGGTGGCCTAGCAGCTAAAGTCCTTGCCTTGAACGTGACAGGATCCCATATGGGCACAGGTTCTAATCCTGGCTGCTCCACTTCCCATCCAGCTCCCTGACTGTGGCCTGGGAAAGCGGTCAAGGATGGCCCAAGCCTTGGGACCCTGCATCCGTGTCGGAGACCTGGAGAAAGCTCCTGGCTTTGTTTTGGTGCAGCACAGGCCTTTGTGCTCACTTGGGGAGTGAATCATCGGACGGAAGATCTTCCTCTCTGTCTCTCCTCCTCTCTGTATATCTGACTTTCCAGTAATAAATAAATAAATCTTAAAAGAAAAGAAAAGCCACAAAATAAAATCATTAGGAAGAAGAAAAGAAATTAAAAACACTATGAAGTTAAATAACATGCTACTGAATGCCTACTGTGTCACTGAAGAAATGTAAAAGAAAATCAAGAATCTTCTTGAAGAAAATGATGCTACTGTATGATCCATAAATCATGGAATAATTTATTCAGAAGAAAGTGTTTTTGAAGAGATGAAACTAAAAAAAAATCAAAATCCATGAGATACAGTTTCTGCTTTGTTGGTGAGATATGTCTCCTGTAGGCAACAAATAAATGAGTTTTGTTTTTTAATCCAGGCTATTAATCTATAATGTTTGATTGATGAGTTTAAGCCATTTACATTCACAGTTAATATACATGGGTGGTACTTTGGTTCTGTCATTTTAGCAATGGGTTGTTCATTGATTTAGTCTTCTGTTATTTTACTGGGATGTTCTTCACATTTGCCTTGGTTTTGGTGGGTGCTATTCCTCTTCTCTGTCAAGAGAACATCTTGAAGTATCCTTTGTAGGACAAGTTTGGAAGAGGTATATTCTTTTAACTTTACTGCTGAAGAATTTTAGTTCATTTCCAAAGACAAAGGAAAGCTTTGCTGGGTATATTATCCTGGGCCAACAATTTTTTTTTTCTTTTAGAATCTGGCATATGTCACTCCATTTTCTTCTGGCCTGTAGAGTTTCCTGTGAGAGGTCTACTGTGAGTTTAATTGGCATTCCTTTATATGTCAGTTGGCTTTTTTCATGTGCACATTTAAGGATCTTTTCCTTATATTCGACTAAAGAGAGCTTGACTATCATGTATCGAGGTGAAGATCACTTTTGGTCAACCGTGTTGGGAGTTTTGTGCCCCTCCTGGATGTTATTTCCTAATTCTTTCTCTGGTTAGGGAAAATTTTCCTTATTATTTCATTAAATACATTTGCAAACCCAGCTTCTCTTTCTGCACCTTCTGGGACTCCCATAACTCTTACATTTGGCCCTTTAATAATGTCTTTCAGTTCTTGAATACTTTAGCTTGACCAAGCTCTGCTTCCAGCTTTTTGTTGGATTCTCCCTGGTGACAGGAAATTTCTGATTCTGAGATTCTTTTTTCTGCCTCCTTCACTCTATTTTGGAGACTCTCAACTGTACTTTTAATTTGCTCCACTGTATTATTCACTTCTGATGTATCAGCTTTCATTTGATTCATCTCCAGTGTGTCATATTCCTTGATTTCCTTGAATGACAGCTTTATGTGTTTCTTGTTGTTGATAAGAAACTTTATAACAAGTGGTTTAAATTCTGGATCCCCCATTTTCTCAATGTATGCCTCAGTTAACTCTAAGGTGGCAAAGGCTTTTGATCCTTTGCAGGGGAGTCTTCAGTAATATTCATTGTGCCTCTGTCTCTTCTTTTGCTCTTGGTCATTGTACTTCTGGTTATCAGACTCTTCCTGGGGCAGGTTTCTTTCCTTTATTTATTCATTTTTTAAACATTTACTTATTTTTATTGCGAAGTCAGGTATACAGAGAAGAGGACAGTGAGAAAGATCTTCCGTCTGATGATTCACTCCCCAAGTGAGTGCAATGGCCTATGCTATGCCAGTCCGAAGCCAGGAGCCAGGAACTTCTTCCAGGTCTACCACATGGGTGCAGAGTCCCAAGGCTTTGGGCCGTCCTCGACTGCTTTCCCAGTCCACAAGCAGGGAGCTGGATGGGAAGTGGAGCTGCCAGGATTAGAACCGGCATCCATATGGGATCCTGGCGCGTTCAAGGCAAGGACTTTAGCTGCTAGTCCACACCGCCGGGCCCTCTTTCTTTTATTTTTTTTAAGATTTTTTTTTTTCAAAATTTTTATTGGGAAGTCAGATATACAGAGAGGAGGAGAGACAGAGAGTAAGATCTTCCATGCATTGATTCACTCCCCAAGTGGCCACAAAGGCTGCAGCTGCACTAGTCCAAAGCCAGAAGCTTTCTCCAGGTCTCCCACATGGGTGCAGGGTCCCAAGGCTTTGAGCCATCCCCAACTGTTTTCCCAGGCCCAAGCAGGAAACTGGATGGGAAGCAGGACCACCAGGATTAGAACTGACAGGGGCAGGTTTCTAAGCTTTGTCACCCACAGGTCTTCGGTTCAATTTTACTTATTGCCGTTGGTACACAGCTCTTTGTTTGCAGTTCCTTGTGCCACTTCCTCCAGTGAGTTCCAGGTCTGGGTTCTTATGCTAGATTTCCACCATGGTCATCTCCTGGCTCACCATCTCCACCTTCTGTGATACCATGCTTAGGCTTCGCTGTTGTCTGTACAACCTTTCTTCCACTTCTTGTCGGAGCAGGTCCCAGGATTAGGGCGGCACCAGATGTCCTAGTTAGCTAGGTTGTTGGTGGTGTTGATCTAGTCAGAACCTGTTGCCCATTTGGTCTGGGGGGCCACATGGATGTGTCCTCAGAGTCTGTCCTGGTCAAGAGTCGGAGTGCCAGAGCGATGGAAGCACATGACCAAGAGCATGAAATGTGTTTTGAAGAAAAATTCATTCAACAAGATAATACTTATAATAATATATAAATGTTCCTAACAAGTGTCATGTTCATGGGAGGTTCTGATGACAGAAGAGTGGTTCCAAGTTATTTTCTCAGCCTATGCTTCCATTAAAAATATGCTAGTTACAAGTGTGAACCATATTTTAAATTTAAAATTATCTAGAATCAGGCCCAGTGTGGTAGCCTAGTGGCTAAACATTTCACCTTGCATTTGCTGGGACCCTATATGGGTTCCGGTTCATGTCCCACCTGCTCCTCTTCCCTTCCAGCTCCCTGCCTTAGGCCTGGGAATATAGTTGAGGATCCTGCACCTACATGGTGACCCGGAAGAGGCTCCTGGCTTCTGCTTCGGATTGGCTCAGCTCCAGCCATTGCTGCCACTTGAGGAGTGAACCAGCACATGGAAGCTCTTTCTCTCTCTCTCTCCTCTCTGTAAATCTGACTTTCCAATAAGAAATGAATAAATCTTTAAAAACATATATCTAGTAGCAACATTAAAAAGTACAAAAGGAATTGGTGAAATTAATTATAAAATGCTATATTTCAGTATAGTGTAAAGAATGTAAAAATCATAGATGAAACATTTCCTATTTAATGACTAAGCTCTCAGATTTTCATGGTGGTACAACATCTCAATTCTTCTTTTCTCCAATATTTGCTTATTAATTGAAAAGGCTGAGTGACACAGAGATAGAGAATAAGACCTCCATCCGCTGGTTCATGCCCTGCCTGCTTGCCACCAGCAGGCCTCCAGGAGCCAGAGACTCTATCCGTGTCTCCTACAGGTAACTGGGTCATCATTTACACATTTCGGACAAGTGAGCAGGAATCTACATCAGAAGCATGGAGTAGCCAGGACCTGAACCTGGCACTCCAGTATAGGATGTGTAGACCCAACTGGCATCTCAAATTCACCTGTGAGCCTGACATGGTAGCCTAGTGGCTAAAGTCCTCGCCTTGCATCTCCAGGATACCATATGGATTCTGGTTCTAATCCCAGAGGCCACGCCTTCTATCCAGCTCCCTGCTTGTGGCCTGGGAAAACAGTCGAGGATGGCCTAAAGCCTTGGGACCCTGTACTCACATGGGAGACCCGGGTGAAGCTTCTGTCTCCTGGTTTTGGATCGGCTTAGCTCCCCGGCCATTGTGGCCACTTGGGGAGTGAGTCATTGGACAGATCTTCTCTGTCTCTCCTCTCTATATTTCTAAGTTTCCAATAATAAAATAAAATAAATCTTAAAAAAAAAAAGACCATGTGTACCACGTGCTTGGATTTAGCTCTTTTTCATTTTTTGTTTTTTCTTTTCTCTTTCTCTCTTTCTTTCTTTCTTTCTTTCTTTCTTTCTTTCTTTCTTTCTTTCTTTCTTTCTTTCTTTCTTTCTTTCTTTCTTTCTTTCTTTATAATACAGAGAGGAGAATAGACAGAGAGGAAAATCTTCCGTCCTATGGTTCATGCCCCAAGCG